TAGAAAAAACAATTCTAAAATTTATAGGCAGCCACAAAAGACCTAGAATAGTCAAAGCTATCCTAAGCAAATAGTACAAAAATAGAGGAATCACATTACCTGATTTCATACTACAGAGAAGTAGTAATCAAAATGGCATTGTACTGGCATAAAAACAGACACATAGAGAAATGGAACAGAATATAGAATCCAGAGATAAATCCATACATCTATCGTGAAGTTATTTTTTAAAAAGCGCTAAGAACATGCACTGGAGAAAGGACAGTCACTTCAGTAAATGGTTCTGGGAAAACTGGATATCCATATGCAGAAGAACAAAACTAGACCCTTGTCTCTCACCACGTACAAAAACAAAATCAAAATAGATTAAATACTTAAATCTAAAACCTCAAACTGTGAAACTACTACAAGAAAATATTAGGAAACTCTCCAGGACATTAGACTGGGCAAAGATTTCTTGAGCAATACCCCTCAAGCACAGTCAACCAGAGCAATAATGAACAAATGGGATCACATCAAGTTAGAAAGCTTCTGCACAGCAAAGGGAAAAGTCAACAAAGTAAAGAGACAATCTACAGAATGGGAGAAAATATTTGCAAACTGCCTGTCTGACAAGGGATTAATGAACAGAATATATAAGGAGCTCAAACAACTCTACAGGAACAAAAACTAAGAATCCAATAAAAAATGGGCAAAATATCCAAATAGATATTTGTCAAAAGAAGACATACAAATGGCAAACAGGTATATGAAAAGGTACTCAATATCACTGACCATTGGAGAAATGTATATCAAAACTACAATGAAATATCATCTCACTCCAGTTAAAATGCATAAAATGGCTTGTATGCAAAAGTCAGGCAATAAGTAATGCTGGCAAGAATGGGGAGAAAAGGAAACCCTTGTACACTATTGGTGAAAACGTAAATTAGTACAACCACTATGAAGAGCAGTTTGGAGGTTCCTTAAAAAACAAAAAGTTGAGCCACCATACAATTCAGCAACCCCACTCCTAGGTACATACCCAAAAGAAAGGAAATCAGTATATTGAATAGATATCTGCACTCCCATGTGTTGCAACACTGTTCACAATAGCTAAGATTTTGAAGCAACCTAAGTGTCCATAAACAGACGAATGGATAAAGAAACTGTGATACATATACCACAATGGAGTACTATTTAGCCATAAAATAAGAATAAGATCCTGTCATTTGTAACCGCATGGATGGAACTTGAGGTCATTGTTTAAGTGAAATAAGATAGGCACAGAAAGACAGACGTCTCATATTTTCACTTATTTGTGGGAATCAAATAAGTTGAAATCAAAACAATTGAACTCATGGGGACAAAGAGTAGAAAGATGGATACCAGAGACTGGGAAGGGTAGTGGGGTGCTGGGAGAGGCAAATGGGGATGTTTAAAGGAGACAAAAATTAGGAAGAATGAATGAGACCTAGTATTTGATAGCACAACAGGGTGACTACAGTCAATAATAATTTAGTTGTACATTTAAAAAAGAACTAAAAGGGTACAATTGGATTATTTTTAACAGAAAGGATAAATGCTTGAGATGATCAATGCCATATTTACTCTGATGTGATTATTACTCATTGTATACCTGTATCAAAACATTTTATGTAACCCATAAATATATACCTACAAATAAAAAATAAAATAAGATAAAATGATTTTCTATATTGACTTTGTGTCTTGCAGTGTTAGAAATTCACTTATTACTTTTAGTTATTGCTTTGTACATTCTCTAAAATTTTCTATATAAACAAACATGCCATCTGCAAATAGAGACACCTATTTGTTTTCAACCTTCTTTATGCCTTCTTTTTTCTTTTTTTTTTCTTGTCATATTGCCGTAGTTAAGATGTCCAGTAAAATGCCAAATAGACGTAAGACTGAAATCCTGTCTGGTTCCTGATTTTAGGGGAAAATGGTCAGTCTTTCATAGTTAATTGTAATGTTGGTTATAGGTTTTTCATAGTGGACCTTTATTTGCCTAGTAAGTTTTCTTTTATTTAAAGCTTACTCAGGGTGTGATTAAAGTCTTGAATGGGTGTTGAATTTTATTAAAGTTTTATCCATTAAGAAAATTGTATTTCTGTTAGTGTGCTAAATTGCATTGATCTATTTTTCAAATAAAGTAACAATGCATTTCTGAGAAGAACCACACGTAGTCATAATATATTATGCCAACTTGGTATCACTGTATTTTATTTTTTAAGGCTTTTTACATCTATGCAATGAAGAATATTCATCTGTTATTTTCTTGTAATTCCTTTTTTCAGGCTTATACATGCTGCATTAAACTGCCTTCATAAAATGACTTGGAAAGTGTTTTCTATTTTTCTGAAAGACTTTTTATAAGGTTAATTTTATCTCTTTCTTAAATGTTGAATAGAAATCACTAGTGAAGTCGTATGAACCTGGAATTTGGACTAAGGGAGGATTTAAAATTATAAATTTATTTCTCTATTAGACAGAGTGTTATATCTAATACTTTTTTATATCTAGTAAAATTTTAGGTCTAAATTTTGTTATAATTTAGTAAATATGTTGTCTAATTTCCTTAGTGACTATATAAACTTTTCAGAGTATCTACTTCTTTTTATGTTAGTTTTCATAAGGTACATTTTGAAGTAATTTTCCATTTCATGTAAGTTTTTGGATCATTGTCATCATATTTTGGATCAAATATCAGAATCATGATATTTCCTGATTCCCCTTTTAAAGTATGTAGGGTATGTAGGGATAGTGCCTCTTTCATTCCTAGTATTGGTTTTTGTGTTCTTCTTTTCTTGAACTGTCTAGCTAGGGACTTATCAATTGTATTAGTCTTTTCAAAGAATGACAATATTGAGTTTGTTCATTTTATCAATTGTTCATTTTTCTATTTTATTGCTTTCTATTCATCTCTATTGTTTTCATCTTTTTTTGGTCCTTTTTTTCTTTCCTGAGCTTCTAAGGTCGATATGCAGTTTCAAACCTTATATTGTAAAATGAATATGTAAAGCTATAAATTTTCCTCTGAGTCTTATTTTAGTTGTACTTCTTGAATTTTAAATATGTAGTATTTTTATTATAATGTATTTTAATATTATCTGACTTCTTTAGTGATTTCTTCTTTAACATGTGGATTATTAGTAATGTGTTGTTTAATTTCCAAATATTTAGAAACCTTTAGATATCTTACTGTGTGAAAAGATCAAAGGTTACTTTGTTATCTCTGTGCCTGATGTTCCTGCCCTTTATGACTCTGTTGCCTTAAGTGTGAGTAGGACCTGTACCTGGGTTCTAGCCAATAGCATATGGCATGGAGGAAGGTCTCAAATCAGTAGAGTCTTTATTGAGCCAGCAGACCCAGTCAATACCTAGAACCTGGTGAGAACCTGGAGCAGAGAACCCAGCCTCGTGAGAGCCTGGAATAGAGAACCCAATTGACCCTGACTCAAAGTCCTGAATCCTAGAAACTGTGAGATAATAAATGTGTGCAGTTTTAAGCTGCTCAGTTTGTTATAGTTTGTTAAGTAGCAATAAAAAATCAATAGTCTGACTGTTCTTGATTTTTTTAATTTAATTTTATTGCGGTCAGAAAATATACTCTATATGATTTCTGTTATTTCAAGTTCATTTCTCTTTGTTTTCTGACTAAACATGTAACTTATACCAGTACCATATTCAGTTAATAAGTAGGTACAATCTGAAGATGTTAGAAGTATTTTTAGAGTACCAAATCTCAAATAGCTTTATAAATATCAAATAGTATGAGGTGCTTGATAGTGTTCTAATACATCTTCTAAATCTTCGTTGGTCATATGCCTATTTTTAAATGTATCTTTCTAAAATCTGGACCCTTTTATTATTATTAAAAGTCTTTTTTATTTCTGATAATAATTGTCTTGAAGTCGGCTTTGTTTTATATTAATATAGCCACTCCAAGTTTCTTATGCTTAATTGCTTTTATTGTATATCTTTCCCATCTGCTTATTTTTAATCTACTCTTTCTAATACTTAAGGTGAATCTCTTTAGATAGCACATAATTTGGTCTTTTTTTTTTTAAATGAATCCATTCTGACTCTACATTTAAGCTAAAAGAAGATATACATCGAGTTCGTATGCCAGTGTTCAGTATTTTTCACTAATGAAGTGATCACTCAACTTTTCTGGTTCTGATAAACGTTGTCCAAGCTGGATTGTCTTACACGTGTGTCTTAGATTTCTTCTTTCTTAGACCATATTCATTTGTACTGACATTTATTCAAAGTGCAAAGTAGATTGTATCCTTGCCAAAATATTTCTAGGAAAGTCTCTGCTTCTATCTCATATTGGCTGCAAAATGTTGGTTGTAGTTCTGTGGCAGTGCAATCCTCACTTTTCTGGTCCGAGTACTTGACTTCTCAGTTTGCTCTATAGGATCATTGTTCTTTGTGCTATGTGAATGGGCGTGGTGTTTTAAATCATTTGACTAAGAAAAGTCACTTACTACTTGAATAAGAATCTGTAAGGCATAAACTCAATTACATAGATACATGAATTCCATGATAATTCCGGGTAATACCATGAAACATATCCTTGGGTTTGCAACACACCTATGAAGTCGGTTACACAGATACCAACTTGTGAATTATTCATATAATTAAGGCTTTTTGAAAACAAGACCAGAAGATAAAGCTGCTTTTTAAAATTTATAGACTTACATGTACATTTTGAAGAGTCTAGTTTATCCTATTATATGTCTCTTTACATCCTCCCATCTATCGTGTATGGTCAGGGTGGAAGCACTCAACATTTTGAAGTTATTACTCCTTCAATTCAAAACTCCAGAAGTACACTAAATCATATATGTTGTTTTCTTACCAAGTAAAACCATGTGGAAATATCGTACATAAAATTGCCTTTGTTATTAAAAAGCGTCATAATTACATTCAAATGCTAGTGAAGTTTAAGAAAAGATTGTATCTTTCTCTTTTTGTCTTTTTCTTTTCAGCCCTATTCCTGTATTGGGTAATGGCTTTTATTACCAAAACAATAAAATTGGTTAAGTACTGTCAGTCTGGTTTGGACATATCAAACCTGCGTTTCTGCATCACAGGCATGATGGTCATCTTGAATGGGCTCTTGATGGCTGTGGAGATCAATGTCATTCGAGTCAGGGTATGTAGCTAATGGCTTTTGTTTAGTTATTTGGATTCAAGACCCCAATATAAAAGGTTACAGTTAGCCAGAAATCATTAGTATTTACAAGGATGAATACACGTATTTGATTTATAAAATATAAAAATAAAGTTGAACTAATCACTAAATTCAGGCCATCAGTGTTTCAGAAATCTCAGTGTGACCCTAGAAGCGATTTATTCATTCACAAATCTTGATTAATCAAATGCCTGCTATGTGTCAGATATTATGCTCAGTTTATATTACAGAAGAAATTGTTTTGAGGACAAAGTTCAATCATCCATGATTGGTCTCGAAGCACCCCTGGTTAAGCAAAATATTGCATTCCCAGAAATTTAAAACTGAAAAGAAAATAGTGTAATCCAGTTTGCTCATTTCGCTGATGAAGAAGCATGTAGAGATAGCTTTGATTATATATCCAAAGTAATATGGTCAAGACCCATACCTGGTTTGTAATTGCAAATCGATTGTACTTTCCACCACTTAATACTGTCAGTTACGTTGTGTGAGATACTAGAGATAGATTTTCCAGTATTCATTTTTTATCAGAGAACTTTGAACTTGATCGGTGAGTAGAAAGATAGATGCTGCAATGAATGTGGAGAGTAATCAGTTAACATCAGGAAAACAGAGATTAAGAGACTCAGTAATGGTGTTAACACATTTTAAAATCTAAACAATGTAAAAACCTTCATTTGGCTGACCCTGTCATAGGATATCATGAAACACTGACTCTTAGTAAAAACTATCTTTTAAAAGGTTAACTGATCTTTCAGAATTGACCCCAAGAGGATTACATGCAAAATTCTGGCATTAACTAGTTAATCTAGTCACAACAGAAGGAAATATCTCAAAGAATATTTCAGAAAGGGATGGAAGGAGGCTTTAAAATATAAATTTTGGTCAAATGAAAATGTAGAAAAGGTTGAAATTTTACTTTTAATGTGTGGAAAATAATTGGACTAATTGTTATACTGTGGAATTTTTCTTGCCACAGAGATACGTATTCTTCATGAATCCTCAGAAAGTAAAGCCTCCTGAAGACCTCCAGGATCTGGGAGTGAGATTTCTTCAACCATTTGTGAATTTGCTGTCAAAAGCAACATACTGGTGGATGAATACACTTATTATAACTGCTCATAAAAAGCCTATTGATCTGAAGGCAATTGGAAAATTGCCAATAGCAATGAGGGCAGTAACAAATTATGTTTGCCTGAAAGATGCGTATGAAGAACAAAAGGTAATTTAGCATCTGTCTTCTATGTGCTTAATTACAGAGAATGGTCCCATTGGCATGAACCCAGGAGGCAGAGCTTGCAGTGAGCCGAGATTGGCCTACTGCAGTCCAGCCTGGGCGACAGAGTAAGACTCCATCTCAAAAAAAAATATATACACACACACACACACACATATACATGTATACACATATATACATATATACACATACATACATATATACACACACACATATATATACACACACATATATATATATAAAGACACAAAGTTTAGGCCAGGCGCAATGGCTCACGCCAGTAATCCCAACACTTTAGGAGGCCGAGGTGGGTGGATCACCTGAGGTCAGGAGTTCGAGACAAGCCTGACCAACATGGAGAAACCCCATCTCTACTAAAAATACAAAAATTAGCTGGGCATGGTGGCGCATGCCTGTAATTCTAGCTACTTGGGAGGCTGAGGCAGGAGAATTGCTTGAACCCGGGAGGCGGAAGTTGTGGCAAGCCGAGATCGCACCATTGCACTCCAGCCTGGGCAACAAGAGTGAAACTCTGCCTAAAAAAATAAATAAATAAAATAAAAAATAAAAAATAAAATGACACAAAGCTTAAATCATATCTATGGTAAAGGAAAAGCAGATTTCCTTCATCTGTTTTCCTCTGTGCTTTTGAATCATGTTAATTGGGGCTGGAAGACTGGAAGAGCCAAAGAAGTATACTTTTATTACTTGCTCAATTAATACATGAGGAAGGATAGAGTGAGTACTATCTTTTCTCTGGGACATGTCACTGAGTAGAAAGTAAGAATTAAGTTCATGATCATGTATAACTAATCCATTACCATATAATATTAATAACTCATGAAATTTTTGTTATTGTCTTTTCACAAGCATAAGTTTGTTATATAAAGAGGTAAAATAGATACCAACTAATAATCAATTTTAAGAAATTTAAAGCCTTATATTACTGACTAAAATTTAGCTTCTATAGTTCAAAATGGGAGACTAAATTAAATAAAAGGACATTGTCTGCCTCTTCTATGTATCATCCTATATGACTGCCAAAATTGGCTTCCTCTGGCACTTTTCCTAAGTATTCATTGTTGTTTTAAAAAAATTTAAAGATGAGAGTCTTTGGGTATTTTCATTTTGTCTTTTATCATTCTAAAGAGTCATGCATGCTACCCACAGTGATAGGTGTGTTTTCTATTGCAATCATCTGCAAATATCATTACCATTTAAAATATTAGGATTCTCAACCACACTGGAAGGAAATAGAGTATGGTAAAACAGCTCACGAGTTTTTGGCTGTTCTCAATCAAGATCAACAAAGCATTTATGGTAAATGATGAAAATAATCTCCGTTTTGTGTCAGAAATATGTGTTATGAAATTAAATGGCAGGAAAAGGTTACAACAAATGAATCTGAGTCATTTCTCTGGTTTCACCTCTGGGAAAAGTATTGCATAAAATTTTTAAAACTACTAAAGTAAAGATGTTTGCAGTCTTTCCTAAGCATAGCTTAATTTTTCTGAGTTCTCTTTACAAGAGAGATTAGCTTGAACTTGGTGTGTTAATGTCTACATAAACTTTGGAAAACAAATCATTTATTTTAACAGGGGGTTACATTGGGAACATAATTGAACTCTACTCCAGTGAGCTGAATTCCTTGTCACAGTGAAAAAACTTTATCTACCTCCTCCCTAAGTTTTATGATGATTGCTCAGGTCTTAAAATTGTATTTACAACAAACAACTGTAGCTATGTGAAGCCGAGTTGACTCAAGTATAAATGCTGTTCTTCATTTTGCATTTCTTTGAGGAATACCTAGGAAACACAAGTCTACCATAATTTTTTAAAGTATTGACTACTATTCAGGGAGATAAGAAACACCATGGAGAAGAAACAACTTGAAGTTGGGATAATCTGTTTTGTTTAGTTTGCAATCATTGGATAGGCAAACCTGTGGTGATCTAGTAACTCCAGAAATCTTGACCAGTCTGCCTGTAACCTTGATCTTTGTGCTTTACTCTTTTGCTTGCTATGTAATGTTATTTGGCAATTCTCGTGACAAATACACATTTACCAAATCAAAGAAAAGTGAAAATGAATTAGGCTTTAAGGATCCTGTGTCACCCTTTGATAACTAAAATAATACAGTCTTAGAAAAACTGTCTTATTTACTTCTTATTCTCTCTATTTTATTAAAATGCATTCAGTAGCTACTATTTGCATAGAAGGCAAGGATACAGAATTATGCATGCTGTGCTGAAAGGCACACATTAACATCAATTTTTAAACCCTTAAAATATTTTTTGAAGTATAAGAAGGAATTTCCATACTTGAGATTAGTTACTGCTCTAAGCAGTTTTATTTTGTTACATCTGTTGTTTTTTTTTTTTTTTTTTTTCCAGAAAAAAGTTGCAGATCATCCAAATCGGACTCCATCTATATGGCTTGCAATGTACAGAGCTTTTGGGCGACCAATTCTACTCAGTAGCACATTCCGCTATCTGGCTGACTTACTGGGTTTTGCTGGACCTCTTTGTATTTCTGGAATAGTTCAGCGTGTGAATGAAACCCAGAATAGGACAAACAACACAACTGGAGTAAGTTCCTGGTGCTTTTCAAAGGAAACATATTATTGGTGGATTTCATTGTAATTGTCACTTTTTATTAATGCAGTTTTATGAGTTGTTCAAATAGGCTTTTTTTTTTTCAGAGAATTGAATGCTTTTTAAAGGAAAGAAAACAGTAATTTTCCTTTTAGAAAAATATCATGTGTTTATGTATTTATTCATTGAATGAATCTGCCCAACAAAATTATTTCTCAGATTCAGAGCCTGTAAACATTTAACAAGCACTCACTGTGTACCAGAAACTTTGTGTAGAAATTGCGCATTGATTGTTTTATTTAATCTTTATAGCAATCATTTAAAGAATTTTTTCACATGAGAGGTGGTGAGTCACTTCTTTAGAGGCCTATGACCAATAACACTAGAAATGTGGTTTGTAATATTGTACGTTTCTCTTTTCTTGTATAATAAAAACCAACACCCTGTTTCACAAGGATCAGGGCAAGTCACATTGTGATATTTTATTAGATATTATGTTATTATATTGGGGCTCATAGTATAAAATACTATGTGTTTACTATCATAAATATATAATTTTTATTTTCTATTTTTAATAAAGACTGCATTGTGAACCTCCTACTTTCTTTCTAAGATAAGTATTGATTTTCGTAGTTCCTCAAATAGAAACTATCGCCAGATAAATCCATTTTCCTTTTCTATTCTCTCAATGTGATTTCCTGCCGTCTTTCCATCACCTATTAAAATGTTATGCAATATGAGAACTGACATTAAATGTTGCCTCTTCAGTGAGGCCTTTTCTGATCGTCCTAGTTGGAATTTGACCCCCGTTGACAGTCCCTTAACACACTCTTTACTTTATGTTGGCATTTACTGAAGCCTATTACTTAGAGATATGCTTATCTACCTAGGTTGTAAGCTTATGAAACAATTACGGTGAGCCATTCATATTTGTGTTCACGATGCTTAGCCCAGATCCTTGCATACATTGGTGTTCAATTGTAATTGAAATGAACCAGATATTTTCACCACTGAATACACTTTGGTGATGTTTTGTCTCTACTAGCCTAATTACATATAGATATCTAAATTCCACAGTTTATCCATTACCCTTCTCCCTTGCACATATCAGTCAGATGTTTTGCTGAGAAGGAACAGGACTTGTACATTTGTATATATTCCCACGAAAAAAGAGGAAGGGAGCAGAAGTAAAATTCTACTAGGTCTAAATCATAGAAAATCAAGAGTGTCCAAACTGATATAATGTACTTAGTCTAATGTTATCTTTCCTTCTTTTCTAACAAACAAGTTACCATACGCTATTGTTACAAACAAAAATCAATTTTGGATATCCTTAGGCTGAATTCAGTCATATTCCTACTAAAACAAAATTTTGTAAGTCATATTTTGTTACTGGTAGTGTTGCATGGGTGATATAGACAAATTACCTATTTTACAATTTGCTATTTATTTTATTAGTATAAATTAAGATATCTGAAAATCAGAAAAAGGCAACTGAGTAGAATTATTTTAAACTGATAAGGCTACCAAAATTGTATATTTGTTCCATTGGTCTTGCTGACCAGCTATCGATTTTGTAGCTTCTACTTCCAAATGAGAGTGTAAACTAACTTGCCTTTTTATTTACTGCTTACCATTTTACTAAAGTTGGATATACCTTTGCAGGAAATGCATTCTAATTTTTTTAAATACATTTTACCTTTTTTTTCTTCAATTAGGCATTTCCGTCACTCATTAATCAGGGATTTTATGGATTTGTATTGTATTTCATTGGTTTGCATTGTATTTCACTGCTGTATTATACATACATTGAATTTTTATATTTAAATATTATGCATCTTGTAGTAAATGCAAACTGTACACCTGGTCTATGAAGAGAAGAGTTTTAATTTGTCACATATTTTTCTTTTGGGACAAGATTTCAGAAACCCTCTCATCAAAGGAATTTCTTGAAAACGCTTATGTTCTAGCAGTTCTTCTCTTCTTGGCTCTTATTCTGCAAAGGACATTTTTGCAGGCTTCCTACTATGTAACCATAGAGACTGGCATTAACCTCCGTGGAGCTCTGCTGGTATGTAAAGGCTGTGAATAATACTTGTTTCCTAAGAATGCTATATACCGTTCAGTGATAAGAATAATAATAGCTTCAGTTTTGTTTCTTCATTCCATTTTCACTTTGGTATTACAACAACAGCGTTTCTATGATCTACTTAATGACAGAAACAGAGCTAATTAATAAACCTGTTGAATTAAAAATAACTTTAAAATAATGTGAAGAAAAATATTTTGAAATCTTACATTTCCTTACCTTTTTCTGTTTGTTCTAGAGCTTATGCTTAAAGTTTAATGCATATTTTTACTATATCACTAGAAAAAAATAATCTGCATTTTGTTGAAATAAGTATGCTGAAATAGAAATAACTGTAGTGGTTGATTTAAGAAGATGATCTTATGGAATTTTTCTTTTCTTTTTTTTCAAAAAAAATTAAATGTTTGTTATTTATTTTCAGTGAAAATAATTATAGTGTCAATTTTAAATGTAGAGCTTTATGTACTTTTTTTTTTTTTTTTTGGTAGGCCATGATTTATAACAAAATCCTTAGGCTGTCTACGTCTAACTTATCCATGGGGGAGATGACTCTGGGACAGATCAACAACTTAGTTGCCATTGAAACTAATCAACTCATGTGGTTTTTGTTCCTGTGTCCCAATCTATGGGCTATGCCTGTTCAGGTAGGTAGATCAATATAAGTACGATTTTTGTTTGCAGAGGAAATAAAACAAAAAGAACAGTAACGTATTTAGCTCCATAAAAGGTGTCTAGTTTTTGAATGTGCAAATATTACACTCTTTTATAGAAAAGGAAGCTGAGACTCAGAAATGTTATAGCATAGGTTAAGAAAGAGAAATTTGAAATTATACTGCTTGGGTTCAAATATCTGCCCTGCCCCTCATTTACACAAGGGCTTAACTCCTCAAAGCCCTAGTTTTCTTAACTGTAAATGAGAATAATAATAGTATCTTTCTCGTAAAGTTGTAGTAATTGTCAAGGTTAAATAGGTTAATAGGTCTATAACATCTAGCGTAGTGCCCAGCATTTCCTGGGCATCCAGTAATTGTTAGTTGTTAGTATTATCGCCTTGATTCATGTAAGTCACAGAGCCATGGTTTGACCCCTTTTATTTTGGCAAGCTCTCTTATAGTATTTCTAAACAAGAGCAATTGCTTTAATCAATCCCATAGTTTCAATAGTATATTGCAAAATGTCAAACTGTATAAAATGGTAGGAACAGTGACAAACTGGAGTGCTATTTAGCTATTTCCTATGTAAAATAACATTTTAAAAACACATGTTTTCTTCTTCCCCTAATTGGCTAAAAATGGCAAAAGAAATATACTCAGTTTTTAGGCCGGGTGCAGTGGCTCACGCCTGTAATCCCAGCACTTTGGGAGGCTGAGGTGGGAGGATCACCTAAGGTTGGGAGTTCGAGACCAGCCTGAGCAACATGGAGAAACCCCGTCTCTACTAAAAATACAAAAAATTAGCTGGACGTGGTGGCGCATGCCTGTAATCCCAGCTACTCAGGAGGCTGAAGCAGGAGAATCGCTTGAATCTGGGAGGCGGAGGTTGCAGTGAGCCGAAATCGCGCCATTGCATTCTAGCCTGGGCAACAGAGTGAGAATCCATCTCAAAAAAAAAAGAAAGAAAAGAAAAGAAATATGCTCAGTTTTTTCCTCTGTATAAGCTGGACATTTTTAATTATCTCAAGTGTTGCATTCTGTAGATGAAGCTCAAGTACTAGATCTTATTTGGTACAATCTGTCGTCTAAGTCCCTGTGTCTCACATTTATTAAAGTGCATAAAGTAATAAAGAAGATGCTAGTTTTTAACTTATTGTTTGCCTTTTCATTTTTTAATAGAAAACCAAGGCAAATAAAAGTGTGTAGTATGCACAGTGCTTGGCACAAAGTAGGATTTAAGATGTACTTTGTCTCATTTTATCAAAATGTACTTATATAAAGGTGGATTAGGTAGCTGCCTACATAGTATAATTTCAAGTGCACCAAAAATCTCTGAACGACTGCATCATGGGTGACCTTAAGGAATTTTTTGTTTTTATTGGATTTCCCAAACTACCTAATTAGCTAGGCAGTAAACGTGTCATTGCCCCCAGAAAGCTGCTATTAAGCTATTACCATTAGCGTATAGGCATAAATTATATACTTGAACTGCATGGATACAGTTCATTAATTGATGTTTTGGGCCAATTATAAATCAGAGAGAGAGAGGATAGGAAAGCAGGGGTAAATTCTGAGTTTTAAAGGGAAAAGAGGACAATAGCAAACCAGAGAAGATAGGTCTGAATGGTTTTGCCCTTGGTTTGGGGAAAGAGAAGTGTATTAAGACAGGGCACCAACTTTAGCTTTTTAATAGTTTTAGTTACCCCCAGTCTTCTTGTCAGTAAGTGACGTCTGGAGTCATAAGGAGGTGAGGAGCTCGGCTCATTCTCTTTTAGTCCACGGACAATCATCCTCTACTCACATGATGCTGCCCGCTATTTTTCATCCTCTCAGCCTTGAAAAGCTAGTACAATTCCAAGAGAATATAGAATGTCAAATTTATGGTGGGTGACAGCATTTTCAAGAAAAAATTTATGCCGTTTTAAAAATTTGAAGACTAGTTTAGAAGCTCAAAAGCGTCATGGGACCACTTTGCAACTTCATGCAATAAATTGGTTTGACATCAGTTGTACAGATTATCGTACTAAAAATACATTCCTAGCACTTAGCCTTCCCCAAATAAATCAGAGTAAAACCCAACTGTCACAGTTGGGTTGACTTGATGGTTAATTCTGTCCCTCTGGAGAACCTTAATACCGTTGACTTCCAAATAAACTTAATATAATAATTAAGAAAGACTACATTTACACTAAAAATTATTTCCTTTCATGCAATGGCTCCCACACCCCCATTCATTTTCCCTTTTCGATGTGTTTTTCTCTCTAGATCATAATGGGCGTGATTCTGCTCTATAATTTACTTGGATCAAGTGCATTGGTTGGTGCAGCTGTCATTGTGCTCCTTGCGCCAATTCAGTACTTTATTGCTACAAAGTTGGCAGAGGCTCAGAAAAGTACACTTGTAAGTAACATCTTTTGGAAATTTAAATACAAAAATCGAGAAATGCTGTTTTAATTTTATAATGTAGGAAATTAATACTTGCCACTCAAGATAATTTGGAAACAATTATATTTCACTTCAGTTCTTCGGCAGCAAATGTGTATTTTCCATGTTGCAAAAACAATTCTTAAAAGTGGATTGGAAATTCAAAACTTGAAGATCGTAGACTTGAAATACTAGAATTACAGTTCCTGATGTTTTAAAGTACCATGAGGTGATAAGGCTTTCAGTCTTCTTAGATCACTTGTCTAAAGAATCCTCTTAAGCGTACTTTGAGGCTACTGAATGTCAGTTATTGACATGCAAGAAATGGATCAAGGCACAAGGGAAGCGTCAAGTTTGCTGCTTCTGAAATTATTCTTCCCTAGGGTAGACTCAAACCATGTGAAGATCTATGGGGTCACACTGACATGTTTCAGTGGCAGCTGCTCTTGCTGAATATGTTTCTGGTCAACTTGGCAAGCAAGAAAAAGCCCAGTTACCGACCATTTCTGGCTTCAATTTTCCATGAAATCATTTTATTTGAGCATGAATTTGCTGTTTATAGGGAAATATTTGCAAATAATAAAATTGTTGACAGCATGTTTACAAATAAAGTTTGATTAAATATGAGCCAGGCTGTCTGTAAATCAGGCATAAAATGTAGAGATGTTGCCACTGACGGGATTGTTTCTCAAGTTCGTGTTTCTACTGTGACAAGCGAGTTGCATGTCACGCAAGCGGTTTTTATCACTTGTTTTTCTGCTACTTTAGGTAGGTTACTCATTATTTCCGTCTAAGCCATCTATCCTTTTTACTCCAGCACACAAATACAGAAAGGTGTGGAAGAGCAACTTAAGAGAGACGTGATGAGTCCTAAACATCTGTCTTTCGTTTAGCTATTCATACCATAATCATTTACTCATTGAACAATCATTTGATAGGCATTTAAGACCCTGTAAAGACAAAACGTTGAACAAAAACCAGGCTGTTTGCTACTTTTGCTTTCTCTTATCTGTCTTTTGACCACTCTACTGCCCCCTTTGATAGTTAATTAGTCACATTGCACTTTGTTAGTAATTCTAGTATAACGTGGTGATAAAGGAAGCTGAAAACAGCTGGCTAAATTGAAGCTTTTGTATCTGCTACAAATCTCTCTACAATTATTGCAAGTTATAAATGAATCTAAATTAGGCCTTAACCAAGAGCTTACAAAGAAGTATGTGGAAATCTCTTGATAGCTAAGATAATAGGCTTAGTTTCAATAACTGAATTATGAAGATGAAATATGAATGCACATAACACTGTACCTTCATATTTTCAAATAAGAAGCCCACTAACTTTTCTTAAATTTATTATTTTTCTTCCTGTAAGTATGAGTGATAGAGTTGACTGGAGAAGAAAATAAGTTAGATGTTAGGAGTCATTATAAATCTCCTTATTAGTTATTTAAATTTATGTCTATATTATCTGCAGACATGATTCAAGGAAATCATGTGAAACTTTACAAAATTGTTTTTAGCTTTTATGTAAACCACAGCAACAGAGACATACATGTTTTTAGGTGGAAAGAAATGTTGAGGCCATCTCACTGAGCTCTTTATGTCACGAAGCACAAAGGGCTTAACTGCTTCTCCTGGGAATTTCACAACCTAATTAGTGAGTGACGTGACCAGTCAGAAATCAAGATCTCCTCAATCCCCGTCCATTACATGGTCCTGCCTTTCTGATTCACTTGGATGCAACTAGTATTATATTTCTTCCTTTGTTTTATAGGATTATTCCACTGAGAGACTGAAGAAAACAAATGAAATATTGAAAGGCATCAAACTTCTAAAATTGTATGCCTGGGAACACATTTTCTGCAAAAGCGTGGAGGAAACAAGAATGAAAGAACTGTCTAGTCTCAAAACCTTTGCACTTTATACATCACTCTCCAGTAAGTTGCTGTTGCTGTAAGAACAGGCGACTTTAAGGGCAACCAGAAAAACCAACAGTCTGTTCAGTTTAGATTGTGATCAGTGAAACATTCTAGTTCTTCAACGACACCTATTTATTTTCTAAATGTGTGCTGTGCAATAGCCGCCAGCCACACAAGGCTATCTGTTTACATTTAAATCAAAGACCAAAGTAAGCACAGGTTTAGAGTCAAGTAGACCTGAATTTGATTCCTCACAACTAGTGTGCCCTTGACTATGTTACTTTACAAACTGAAATCCTTGGTTTTCTTCATCAGTAAAATGAAGATGGTGATGATAATAGTAACTGTGATTAAAACCCTTGTATCAGTTCAGTTAGGATAAATAGTTGGTTTTCAGTAAAAATATGTTTACTGAAATTGATTTGACTACATTATGATTGATCTTCTTGTCCCCAAATATTCTTTAACTCTTTTTGCATTTGTCTCAGAATACTCACAGGTAGCGCTTGTGGCTGTAGCTTTTACTCTGAGAAAACTTTGCCGCAAAACATCTTGCTTTTATTATTATTTTGCATCACTCTAGGATATCAACTTTGGAAACAAAAGACATCATTCTATTTGTAGCATTCTGTTTTTAGTAGTGGTGTTTCCGTTTACAAAATATAGTAACTCTCTCAATCACTAAAAATGTCAAATCCTAGAAAACATAGCATTCTTACGCATGATGTTAACATCTTTCTCGAACAGCGTTGGCCGAAGATTCATTTGATGAATCCGATTTTTTCCTAAATAGATGATTCAGATGATTGTGACAGTTCTCTTGTTAGTTCTGTTTAGAAATAACTCCAAGAACAGTTTTTATATTTTATTTTCACATTAAAAATCAATCAGATTTGCTTCAGCCTCAAAGAGTGTGTTTATGTAAAACTAAATGACTACTGGCAGTGAGCTACGCTTTTTATTTTCTAAACGGGAAAAGGGTTAAAAATATTTGCAGCTTTTTAGCTTGTCTCCTTGGGAGCTTATAACTTGATATTTTCTTGAAGATTGTCAAGAAAATACAGCCATTTTTGAAAACTGAGGAGAAAAAAATATATCATTTTCAGGTGAAGGAAGCCCAACTTCATTCACAGAAAACCCTTTGTTCCAATATATTTTCAAGAATTTCAAAATACAGAGTTATTTCATCTTCAACTCTAACTTGTAAAAGCAACTGTTTCAAAAATATTACTTTTTTTCCTCAAAGTATGACTCTGAGTATTCTTATGAATAACAGGGTTTATGTTAGTATAATTTACACAAAATAGCAAAACTATTCCCACTGATATTTGGTTTGATTTATGTGTCAGTTTTGCTCATCTCTGTTGCTCCCAAGACCTTTAGCAAATTAAAATTTGGGAAGTTTATATATTGTTTCCTCTTGAATTATAAACTCCTTTAGAGTTTAAAGATTATAAACATTTCTTTTGTGAAATAGATTTAGAGAAAATATTTGGCTTATATAACTCTTTTATTCTAATCCTAATGCTTGATGCATCAGACGTAAAGTTGGAAGGAGTTTTATCTTCCAGCAATGCACCACTAACACGGTGTCAAGATGCTAGAAGACAGGATGATCAAGATTCACTCGCTTATATTGTACTACTCTAAGTTGGTGACCCCTTCGATATACATCCTTCTCTTCAGAGGACTGAAATTCTCATAAGAAGGATGGATGCAGCCAGAAATAATGACAGCAACAACAACAAAGATATATTGAGAGTATACCTAGCCAACAATTGCCATAAGTGGTTTTTCATGTACCATCTCATTAATTATTACAACAGCCCAGGGGTTTTGATTCTACTATATATTTATTTTTATATATTTTTTGAGACAGGGCCTCACTCTATCACCCAGGCCAGAGTGCAGCAGTGCAAACTTAGCTCACTGCAGCCTTTAATTGCTGGGCTCAAATGCCTCAGCCTTGCAAAGTGCTGGGACTACAGGCATGAGTCACCGTGCCTGGCCTAGATTTTATTATTAACTGCACTTTGGAAATTAAAAGATTGATGTATACAGAACTTAGGTAGCTTGAACTTCTTTCAAATCATCCAGCTGCTAAAGGGCTGAGGTGAGATGAGAATCCAGCTTGTGTGTCTCTAGAGATGAGAGTTGGGTTGGTATTTGAGTCAAATCCAAGAGGAGAGAAGGTAGAGGAGGCCATCCTAGGGGAGAGCAATAAGAAGTAATGAGGGGTAAACTACCTTATCCTGTGTTCTTGATAGGCAGCTGGGATTCTTGAGTCAATGGAGCAAAATTCCAGTTTGACCACTTCAAGTTTTATTATTTTGTTCAGTACGGTCTTTTTTGTGGTGAGTTGAACAGAGCTGGCTATAAATCTTAGCTCTGACACTTTGTAGTAGTATGGCCTTGAGGAAATTACTTATATCCTCCTTGCCTCAGTTTCTTAATCTGTAACATGAGCTAGTAATAATGTCTACCATGTAGGATTGTAAAGATTAAAGAAAATAATGAATACTACGAACATTTATTGAGCGCACACTCCATCTCAGGCACTATGTCAAGTGCTTCATATGCATCTGCTACAAAGCAGGTTAAAAGAAAAGAATACACTTAGAAAATAGGGTTACAATACAGCAAAAGAAACTATCATCAGAGTGAACAAACTACACAATGGGAGGACATTTTTGCAATCTATCCATCTGACAAACGTCTAATATCCAGAATCTACAAGAAACTTAAACAAATTTATGAGAAAAAAAAAAACCCTATTAAAAAGTGGGCAAAGGACATGAACAGACACTTCTCAAAGGAACACTTCTCAAAGGAAGACATTTATGTGGCCAACAAACATGAAAAAACTCAACATCACTCATCATTAGAGAAATGCAAATCAAAACCACAACGAGATACCGTCTCACGCCAGTCAGAATGGCAATTATTAAAAAGTCAAGAAACAACAGAAGCCAGTGAGGTTTTGGAAAAATAGGAATGCTTTCACACTATTCATGGGAATGTAAATTAGTTCAGCCATTGTGGAAGACCAGTGTGGTGATTACTCAAAGACCTAGAACCAGAAATACCATTTGACCCAACAATCTCATTACTGGGTATATACCCAAAGGAATGTAAATCATTCTATTTTAAAGATACATGCTGCGTACATTTATTGCAGCCACTATTAACAATAGCAAAGACATGGAATCAACCCAAATGTCCGTCAGTGATAGCCTGGATAAAGAAAATATGGTACATGTACACCATGGAATACTATGCAGCCATAAAAAGGAATGGGATCATGTCCTTTTCAGGGATATGGATGGAGCTGGAAGCCATTATCCTAACCTAGGAACAGAAAACCAAACACCACGTGTTCTCACTTACAAGTGGGAGTTGAATAATGAGAACACACGGACACAGGGAGGAGAACAACACACACTGGGGCCTATGAGGAGGGCAGTGAGGAGTAAAGTAGCTAATGCATGCTGGGCTTAATAGGTGTAGCAAACCACCACGGCACATGTTTATCTATGTAACAAGCCTGCATATACTGCACATGTATCCCGGAACTTAAAATAAAATAAAATAAAATAAGGTGACAATAGTCAGAGAAAGAAGGTTGAGACAGAAATGTGGCTCCTCATCTGTGTTATTACAAAACTCAGATCAGTGTTTGGATTCGTGGTACTGTTGAGTCTGTGTTTGACAACTAAGTCATATCTGGACTGGCAAAAGCACAGTCTGATTCTGTTCTATGTACAGTGGTAAGGATAATTCCCGAGAGCAGAAGATTTTTAAAACCCGAGTCCTCTACTGTTAAGATAATTAGATTCTAGCTTCTCACTCTGCTGTTGCCTGGCTCTGTTATCAACAATTCAGTTCATCTTTGGTTTCTCGGTTCCTAAAATTCTATAGTTTATGACTGTACGACTATAAATCATGAACTTGGATTTTTATTTTTACTGTTACTTCCAAACACTAGTATTTCAGGCTAAAATGTGAGTTTTTCTTATTTCAACTAGGCATATCATGCTGATCCAATGATAGTTAAATATATTCCAGGAGAGATATTTAGACATGCAGAGAGTCCAGGCTATGGAGTTATTTTATTAACTGAAAGGGTCATAAATGAATATTAATATCACTGCTGGAAAGGGAACTTGAAGTGATATCAAATTCTTGTTTTTAATCTGTGTAATAACCTGATTTCACATATTTAACTTAGTTTAGTGGACTAAACAAAAGATAGACTGTAACCCCTCTCTAGAATACGCATTTGTTAAGTTCTAATAATTTTTATCATTAAAGGATGATTTTATATGAATTCTAACATTTCATAAGAAAAAAATTCAATAAAGAAAAAAAGATACTGGTTAAGACTAACGTATGGGAGCTCATAAAACTGCAGACAAGTAGGTACTAACTGTGAAATGCTTGTGGACTCCAGACACAATGACATTTAATACTCTTTGTTCTTCCTGTCTTCAAAGAAAGTTAAAGCAATAATAGATGATTAAAGTTACTGAAAATGTTTTCACAGTTCAATGAAAACTAATGCATTTTATTTCTTTCCACAGTCTTCATGAATGCAGCAATTCCCATAGCAGCTGTTCTTGCTGTAAGACACTTTTTCTTGCTTTTAGAAGTGAAACCAAGTCAGTGTTTATAAATGATTTATGAGCAAGAATGTGTGGGTAGTAATGTATATTACCTCACCTCTGTGACTTCCTTCTATTACCATCTCCATTGCAAGAGTTCTAATCCAGAGTTTCTCAATAAAGACACTATGGACATTTTGATCCAAATAAATTTTTTTCTAGGGGCTGCCCTCTGTGTTAGGACGTTTAGCAGCATCCCTGGCTTCTAGCTACCAGGTGCCAGTAGCAACCTCAGTTACAACAATCAAAACATTGCCAAATGTACACTGGTACATTTGCAAACATTGCAAAATGAACAGTGGTTGGGAATTAACTGTTCTAATCTCAATGATCTAGTTCCCAGACATTCTTACAACAGGATGGAGCTAGATCAACAACCAGAAAATCTTATAATTGCATTATATTTCATACTAAAGTGACAAACTCGGCAACTGGTATTATTTGTAGAAATATAATTAGCTGGGCATGACGGCGCATGCCTGTAGTCCCAGTTAATTGAGAGGCTGAGGTGGGAGGATCACCTGAGCCTGGGGAGGTCGAGGCTGCAGTGAGCCATGATCACGCTACTGCACTCCAGCCTGGGCAATGAAGTGATACCCTGTCGCAAAAAAAAAAAAAAATGTAAATAAGTATTCTTTGGGTATTAATGCTGACAGTTTTAGTAAAGATCCACAGTGAGGACCCCAAAACAAGAGAACATTATTTTTTCTCCTGGAATATTTACTATTGCTTGGAAAGGGCTTGACTGGTTGTCAAAAACTCTGGGTTCTTCACCCCTTTATTCCTCCTACTTAGTAACTGACAGAGTCAATTATGTAATCTGTAAGTAGAATTTTTTTCTAACTTTCTCATAAGTTTGCCACCATAATTGCAGGTAAACCTTTCAGGACTCACCAAAAGCAAGTACTGTTTTAATTAGGGAGTTTTGGATGAAGTCATTGTTATCATAGTTACAATGGACATACTGGCATAGCGGAATATGTTAGGTTTTTCAGATAGGACTGAATGTACGCATGTGTGCAACTTTTTCCAGCTTTCTCTAAAGAACTCCTTTCTTTGCACAGACGTTTGTGACCCATGCGTATGCCAGTGGAAACAATCTGAAACCTGCAGAGGCCTTTGCTTCACTGTCTCTCTTCCACATCCTGGTCACACCACTGTTCCTGCTCTCCACAGTGGTCAGATTTGCAGTCAAAGCCATCATAAGGTATGCATTGAAGTGTTTGACATTTTTTGCTTATTGATAATAGAAATGATGTGTGCTGTGTGTGCTAATGGGAGTATTTGAAAAAATATTTAAAAAGAACATTAAAATCACTACCAGGAGATAACCATTGTTAAAAATTATGGTATGCTACTTTTCAGTCTTTTATTTATTTCATGTAAAAATAATTATTTCAAAACAAAAATTTTAAATTTATCTAGTGTTTGTCTCCTGATTAAACTTTTTTTAAATTATTCTCCCCTCATTTAAGTTTTATAATATGCCATGTTTACTGACTATGTAATATTCTATGTCGGAAATATTCTAATTTATTTAATGATTACCTTTTTATTGAACATTTAGAATGGTTCTGTTTTCTCCCGAAGTTCACACATCTCTGTTTATCTTTAAACTTTTCTCTGATGATTTTCTCAGGTTGGATTTCTAGAAGTGAGGATACTAGTTTTAATAATAGGCACATTTTTGAGGTCCTTGATGAATGTGTTGCTTTCCACTGAAGTGGTGGTAAGTCAAGGAGGGCACATATTTTTAAGATTTTTAAAAATGAATACAGCCATAATGTTTTCCACTAAAGCTGTGCCAGTTTATATTGGCAACAATAGTGACAGAGAATGTTCACATCATCACATTTACTATTTTAATTTTAGTTTAATCTGGAAAAAAATCCAGGCTTAAAGTCTCTGAAAATGGTAAGAATTGTAAAACCATTTTGTATTTTGCTCATTTAAATATGCTTCTATAGCGTTTCCAACCAGTGCAGATTTTTGTCTCTTTATAATTTCCCATAATGCACAGCTATAAAAATAGATGTGATATGATAAGACAATTTTTCCACCATTTTTACTTATATAAATGTGTTACCAAACTAGATGATACACTGCCTATACCATAGTCTATATGTCTTATGCTCCCATAAATAAGACTGTCTTAAAAAGGAATTTTTCATTTTAGATATATGCTCTTTATAAACCTATAAAACCTCAGAATGCTTTGTAAACAGTCATTATCATATTTATATCTGGCTTTTGAAAGAAATGCCAAGATGTTGCAATATTGAAGAAAAATTGGAAAATTGAGCCTTTAAATATATGAAGTATCATGTTGCAATTGACGGAAACATAGAACATCATTTGTGAGACTTTTAAAATGAGACAATTTTGCTAGAATCTATATATTACTGAGAAAACTAGACTTTATTATTCAAAATACCAGAATCTTCAGCTTTAAGCCAATAGTTTGCACTGGCTTAACAATGGCTTAATGCCAAATAAAATTAAAATGCATATAAATCATCTTACAAACCAAATTCTTACAGAATATGATAGTGTAATATAGTTTCAATGTCAACCTCTGAGACATATCATTAACAACCAGTTCTAGAGCTGTTAGTGTCTAGAGCTCAAGCCTTCTGGCCACATCTGCCCTCATTTTCTTATTGTTCTGCCTTCTGAAACACTTGTCCAGATCCCTGACTACTTTTTGTAGCCCCACTTCCAAATTAGGCAGTGCTCTGGAAGAGAAGCTACTTCAAACAATAAAATTGATAAATGGCCAGAGTCTGCTATTTTGGTCCTTATTTTCATTTTCTCCACTGAACAACTGTCCCTTTCATGGTTGCACTTTTATTTGGAATTTGACTTTATACTACAAGTGGAGGTAGAAAGCAGTTGATAACTTGCAATAGGTAACACCTCTGAAATCAGGAGGTTACCAAACATTAAAAGGACTTTGAGTTGATTAAAAAACAAAACAATCTAGGGGTGTCCCTCCAATGCGTGGTATATAATTCTGTGGTAGTAAATCCTAGTACAGTGGAGAATGGGTATCCCTGTATATTTCTGCATAGCACTCTCCCTTCTGCACATCTCATGGAAAAGACATTTGCCAGTTTGATAAAGACCAGTCTTTTTTCAGGGCTCAGTTCCAGATTTCCCAAGCCACAGGCCAAACAAAATCTGCTCATAAAAGCCTGATTCTCTCAAATGGGTTTCAGTGGTTGAATTGCAGGTCCTACAGAGATGGCTGGTCCACAGAGAACATTAATCCTTTTTCCCACTGTGTGCTAGTTCTGGGAACCCAAATAAGTGCTCTCCCAGTGTTGACTGGACTTAGAGCATTTTCTTCTGTGCCTGGGAACCCGTGACCAACCTTCAGTGCCAGTTGGCCCACAGTGAGTTGAGCAGCCTGTTTATAATCGGAGACTTTGGTCAGCTGATTTTGAAATCTCCTCTTCAGGAACTGTGGAAATTCGAAGTCCCTCACTGCTCTCTTAAATACATTTAGAAACTTGGTGGGTTAGAATGGGATAAAGCCCACTCTCAAACCTGCGTTATATATGCATGTAAGAGACTTGTAAACTTCTCTACTGGAGGAAAATTCCATACCATGTTCAAGTCTCGGTTCCAAAATAAGTCTATGCTTTCTTTGGAAAAGGTTTGGGTTATTAGCCAAAGTTGTCTTCATGGCATTCAATGACTGAGACCTGTATATATCTCATAAAATGGAAGAATGAGGCAGGTGTGATTCAGATTGTCTCCTCACACCTCCCGGTACCCCACACCATTTGATTTTTCTGGACATTTTATGATGAAGTGTTCTTGTTTACTTTCAAAAAACAGAATAATGAAAAGTAACTATTATCTAAAATAATAAAATGCTCAAAGAAGAGAGACTTCTTTTTTAGGAGACTTGCCTCACTTCTCCACTTTGCTTTATTTGTAAGGAAATAATACATGTGTTTTGCTCTTTTGAAAACAATATGTTATGTCCTTTATAAATAATTTGAGCTTAGGTTTCTCTACACTGTGTTTGATGCACAATTCAATACCTATGTCTGAAGAGGTTATTTGCCAAGAGAAAAACAAATCCATCACTTTATTGGGAAATAACCTTGTGTCTTTGCTCTCAGGTACCTCCCAAAGGAATGTACGCATGACTTGTCCACTGTATTACCTTCAGTCAAGTAAATTGTTATTGATATTTATCATAAAGCATATACTTCGGCCTGGTCTCTGTATTTCAGTTTACAAAATTTTATAATTCCTACCAAAAAAAAAAAAAAAAAACCCATGTGACTGCTGGCAACGAAGTCCGTTTTCCCAATTAATATAGCACTTGTCCAGGGTACTTAAGCTGTGTCTACCTACCCAAAGTGTAAGACCTTAAATATTTTTGTGAATGATCTAAACAAATGAGAAAATAGTAAAATACTGATTTAGAAAGGTGGTAGAGGCAGGGTAGCAAATTGATTGGTATAAAATATACCTGCTTTCAAATCCTAGCACTACCAGGAAATACTCATTGTTTGACCTCAAACATGATTTAGTGTCTCTGTAGCTCAGCTTCCTCAATTGTCAAATGAGCACGATAATGTTACCTGCTTATGGTGGTTGAGAAAATTAAATGAGATAATACATAAAAAGTACCCACCCTGTTGCCTAAATATTTTAGGTATGTTACAAATCTCCATTTTACCATCTTACCACCATTTTACTCATCTCTATCCCCTGCCTCAGAGCATCTTCTGTGGATGTGCATTCATTTATTGATACAGGTACATTGCTAGGCATTAAGAATTCCAAAGATAAAGACAGGCTGAAATCTGCAGGGAGCCCACAGCCTAGTTAGACGAGGAAGGGAAACTAATTACCGTATGATGGGTTATGGCGTTATAAAGCTATACACAGAATGCTATGGCCCATAATGGGCATTGTTGAAGCTTTTTGAGAGAGAAGGGAAACTATGTGGTCAGTAAACATTTAAAGAAGGTGGTGGCTCTTTCATAGAATCCTTAAAAATAGGTAAGACTTGGAAAGCTGGAGAAAAATTGTAAAACGTGTTTTAACAGAGGGAGCAGTATATTCAAGGGGAAGAGGTGGGTAAGTAGCTGAGAAACCTTAGTATCTTCAGGAGATTGAAAGTAGTTCAGTGTCATTGGAGGAAGGGTTCTGATGTGGAATTATCAGGGCATGAAGCTGGAGAGTAAACTCCTGAGCAGCTTTTAGATGATGCTAAAGATGCTGAAAGGCAACCAGATACCATTTGTGACTTTAAGAAGCAGGTCGTTACATGCACAGATTTGCGTTTTAAAAATATAAACCTGGAAGCATAGTGGAAATTACTTCACACTTGGTCAGGATTTGTGCATTTTCCATAATTGTTTTACCTCTGTGATTTCTGAAAGGACCTCATAGGAATAGAAAATGCTTTTTGTATTACCCATTTATTATTTCATTAGACATGTCTTGAGGAATGACCATGCTATATTTTAGGCATTGCGATAGATTCTAAAGATGAAAATCTTTACTGTTAAAGAGTTCACAGTCTAGAGGGAGAGATAGACATGAAACAAACAACAACAATGACTAAACAGCAGCACCGGAGATCCTCAGCCAGAGAGTCTAGAATGACTGGGGACATGGGAAAGGAAGGGAAGTAAGTAATACTAACAGATGGGTTAGTATTGGCATCCATTGGTGGTCCTTGTCATTGATGTTTCAAAGTGGGATGTTATGAAGAAAGAATGTCGTCCCCATTCCCAATCAAGGTCAGGGATCGTGGCCTCCAATGCTCAGGAAGAGTGGGGCTCATTTATTCCATAAAAACTTTGAGGCTACACTGGAAAGATTAGTGATTCGTACCTATACTAGAAATGGGAATGGAGAATTGAACCAACCGACCTTACTTAATGTCTGAATCATTGGTTTGTCTCTTCTTTGATTTATTCAACAAGCATTCCTTGAACGACATGTGCCAGGCATTGCTAGATTCGGAGTTATAAAGGCAAATGAGCCTGGCTGCTCAACTTTCTTTTTTTGTGTGGAGAAATAGTGTGAGACTGTTTAAAGGTATTCCTTTGGTTGACAGAGCTGCATTCTTAAAATTAAGTCTTTTCAAAACGTAAGAACAGAATGACAATTACAATCTATAAAAGTGAAGATGAAATAACTGCCATTTAAGAGGAATAAAATAATGTTTCATAAGCCATTTATAACACTGTTTTTCAAGTCTATGTGGTCAGACTTTGCTGTCAAAGACGCAAAGAAAGTGTACAAACTGAAGCTCTTCCTAAACAATTACTTCTTTTAGTTCCCTGCAAGTACAGTTTGACAGCTAATAGATTGCCTCAATGGATTTTCATCTTCCTTCATGTTTCTATGGCATGCAAAACCAAAACGCTTAAAGATCATGGGCAGCAGACTAAAATTAAATTTACTTTTTTCTCATTTTGTTATTGTGTCACAAAAAAACAAATTCTGAAAACTTGTCTGGTGGAACTTGACTATAAGTTCAAATAAAATTTTTAAAAAAGAAACCGTTTATTTCATACGTACATTTTCTAGTTTCCTATCAAAGGCAATACCTCCCCTGTAGTTGCTGCTGCACGTACCAAGCAAGTTTTTCCACTTGCTGCCTCCTAGCTTGCCAAAAGGAACACTTCTTTTCCTCTGTAACTTCACTGAATTTCCTTTTGTATGTTATTTTATTTCTAGGATGATGTTTACAAACCACATTATCGTTTTCTTTGTTTTGCTTATTTATTTTTGATCCTGATCCTGTGACACTGGTTTGAGAAAGTTAGAATGGGTAGAGTAGATGAGCCAAGGAATCTTGTGTCCAGCCTAAGGAGGTGACAGTAAAGAATGTTTGCAAACCAGTCTTCTAGAGCAGGGCCTCTCTAGAGGTGCTCGTGAAGCGCCTCTGGGTGTTGGTCAAATGCATAATGTGATTCTTATTTGGAGGCAGGGCTGAGATTTTCTGTTTTTAATAAGCTCCCAGTTGATGCTGATGCTGCTGGTTCTTGGCTGAAACTTTTGAGCAGCGAGACTCTAGAGGCCCCTCTCCTTGCCAGCTTCAGAAAATGTGAATAATACATAGTGCTTAAGCAAGATACACAGTGGCCAAGGATTCCAGATCTGCATAGTACATGCTAAATGGTTTTAGGCCGGTTACTTAGCTTCTCTGTACATCACCTCCCCATCATTTGTAAAATTAGAATACTAACAGGAATTTTCTCATTAGTGTTATTTTTAACCACACTGTTCCAAGTTCCTAAACAACTTCACTGTTTTTGACAAGGAATATAATTGCAAAAAAAAATGCACAGAAGGTTCTGTTGAAATTAGGGTGACAAGTGGTCCTGACTTTTCTGACATTTTTCTGGTTTTAGCACTGAAAGTCCCAAGTCCGGGAAACCCTACTGTCCTCGGCAATTTAGGATGTTTGGTTGATGTAGGTGAATTCCCAGTTGGTCTTGAAAAATGACTCTCGCAGGCATCCTACTCACCATAAAAATGTGTGTTAAAGTTATTATTTAAGTAGCATTTTTTGGGTGGTGGTTTTATTGTTAAATCTTACTCTGTGTTTGTTGCTTTTTTGCAGTGTTCAAAAGCTGAATGAGTTTCTCTTGAGTGATGAGATTGGTGATGACAGTTGGCGAACTGGTGAAGGTTCGCTTCCTTTTGAGTCCTGTAAGAAGCACACTGGAGTTGTAAGTGCCTTATTTTTGTTATGGAAGTTATGAATAGAGGACAGTCTCAGCAGAATGGACAGATTAATATGAGTGATATTATAAGCTTTATTTTTTAACCCATGTGAAGAAAAATTGCCACTTGCTTCTGTACAACCTCACAAGTCTAAAATCAATAGATAAATGTATAAGGCTTGTCTTTATAAATCCAGGAAAAAATTATCCTAAGAGACAATACATGTTTAATTCAAAAGGCAATTGAGAGTTTGGTTACTCCAAATTTATATTAAAATAACACAAAATAAGTTTACGACTCATGCACCATTTTCTTATAATACCGTTTAGCTATACTACACTTTATAGTTTAAAACATATTTTCTGATGCATTTTATCTTTTTATCCACTTAGTATATTACATTGTCTCTTTTTATTTTCCAGTTGAATTACATTACATTGTCTCTTTTTTTATTTTCCAGCTCTTTTTATTTTGCATGTCATGAGGCTTAAATAAAGTCGTAAGATTACTAAGTGGTAGAGCTAGAATTAAAACTTGAATCTTGTAAGTTGTAGTCCAGTTCATTTATCCATGATGCAAATATTTACTTAGTGTCTACATAAAATCTATAAAATAGTCAGTATTATTTTGTCATGCATTACATGTAATATGAATAAGCTTTTTAAAATATATGCCGGTGTTTTCAGATTTTTTTGGCTGTGCTTTGTGCCAAGACTTAGGGTTGTAGCAATGAACAAGACATGTGAGATCCTTCCTGTCACAGAATTTGCTTTCTTGAGGCAGGAATTGATAAGCAAATTAAAACAATAACATAGTTTCACTGTGTGAAGAAAATAAAAGAGGACATTAAAGAGTGAATTGGGTACTTGAAACAGGGTGGTCATTTCCAAGAAGGCCCTTCTGGAGATCCAGCATTTGAGCCAAGACTTGAATAAAAAAATAGGTACCTTTCCTGAAAAGTTATAGATAAAGAGTATTCCACTCAGGAGAACTAGCAGATGCAAAGGTGTTGAGGTAGGAATTAATTTGGTGTATTCAAGGAACGGAGGGGTACTGTGGTTGGAGCCTGGTAAAGAAGAGAAAGATGAGATGATGTGAGAACGATGATTGAGGGCCCCTGTAAGCCACGGAAAGCATTTAGATTTTATTGACATGCAATAGGAAATTACTGGAAGGTTTCAAAGTAGGGAGTAATATAATTTCATTTATATTTTTGATATAATTTCATTTATATGTTGTTTTCTGTGTAGAGGGAAGTCAATGGAGGACAAAGAGTAAAACACATAGATCAGTAAAGAAGTCATTATAATAATATAGGCAGGAGAGGATGACAGTTAGAATTACAGCTTTTGGTCCAGTTGCAGTGGATATTGTGAAAAAAGGAGATCAAATTCAGTGTACACTTTAGAGGTTGAGCTGATAAAGACTTGCCGATAGATTGGATGGGGGCGATGAGGCAGAAAGAGGACTCAAGGAAGAATACTAGGTTACTGGCTTGATTTCTAGGTAGATGATATAGCTGTTGAGATAGAATAAAGAGGTACATTTTGCACGTGCAAATTTTGAGATACTTCTTAACCCAAGAAGAGACATAAGCTTTGGAGATATAAATTTAAGAGTCACTAGCCATTAGATAATACTTAAATCAATGACTGGATTATACAATTTTCTTGAAGGAAGTGTCTAAAAAAATCTGAAGAAATTCTTAAAAATTAATATATTCCACAAAGTAGAAAAGCATTATTCCACAGTGAGTCATAAGTTAATATTAGTTATAATTGTTACTATTAGAAAAAATATGAATATATTTACCATTTAGGTGAACCAACACAAATGTATATGCAATCTCCTGACTGGAACTGATTGGAATTTGGAAAGCTTTTGCCAGGAAATTAATCTATATTTTTTACATCATGTTTAAAACTGCTAAAAATAGTTAAGGCGATCATGTAGCTATATTTAGACTTATTTCCTTCTGCTGTTCTGGAGGGTTTTTGTTTGTTTGTTTGTTTGTCTGTTTTTGTTTTTGTTTTTTAACTTTCTGGTAAGTTGTTTTACTGGACAGGTATGATTTTGTCCGAGAAGGGACCACCACCATGCTTATATATGCTGGGGGAACAATGCCTCAAAGTGTTTATTTGTTATTGTGTGGACATGGACACAAAGACAAAAATATTAAAGGGTGTCTAAACTTTTAGGCAATAGGGCGTCAAATATTTGATTAGAGCTAGTCTCGTCACTCTTTGGATGGTCCTAGACTACCAAGGAACTTGTCTTTCAGAGATATGGGGATGAGCAGAATGAGATGACCTCAAGAAATGGGATATAGGAGGTCAAGTTCATGGAGTTAGGGAAATCTGAAGAATTTTTTTGTATGAGATGTGGCATAGAAGAAAAATTGAACTGAGAAAAGGTTTTGGAAAGAAAAAAAGAATCCCCTTCAAATGCATCCAACATCTTCAGGGTTATTGAAACCAGACTGAACTTCTTGATGTCTTTCAGGGTCATTCATCACTGCTGAGGGGCCAAACCACAAATGACAAACTTTTTAAAATGGAGTGAAAAAAGTTGTGTGTTTGAAAATAACACTAATGGAAACTCCTTCTTGAGAGTGCTTAAGATACTATGTATTCTGTAAAAACTTAGAGTTAAGTGGTTTTGGCTGTAGAACCTCCATGGAGAATTAGTGACAGTCTAGGGCCAAAGTCTCTTCATATTACATCTGTGGAACTTCGACTCAAATCTCTGTCAACACATCTACTCTTCCCACCCTCTTCTTAGTTTTGTGAAGGGCATGAACTCATTTCTTTTGGACCTGTGGGGGCAATAATGTTACAGAATTAAAGACTCTAGAAGACAGTACATTTTATATGTAGGTGTAGACCTGTTTTGCATGGAAAATATACTTAGCCTAAAGGATAGTGGCTTTCTACAACCTCTCATGCAGTGTACTTCCAGGAGTATTTGTGAGGGCTGTGAGAACGAAAAATAAAACTAAAATAAAGTTAATGAACATACTCTCCTCCTCTCTCTCTTTGTGTTAAGTCAAAATATATTAGTATTTTCTGTGTGACAGAACCCCTGCTAGTGTCTTACTTTCTAATCTTTTCAGTGGCTTTTTAATTTGTGTATTTATTGGCATGTAGCCTAGCAATGTACTATTTGATAGTTTGGGTGTTCTCTTGATACACCAGTTGATGGAAACTGGAAGAGCATTATCTTGTTTGGATTAAATTACTGATTATTTGAGGACATTCCTAATTCCCATGGTAGAACCCAGTGGATTTTTCAAAAAGCTAAACCTGCAGTTCCAGGCCAAAAAATAACCCCCCAAAACCAATAACATTCACAATTCTAGAATCCTTTGCTTTTCTAGGTAACTTAACAGTTTAAAGTGTATTATTACTTAGCCTTCATAGTCTCTATAAGGTATTTGTGTAGGAAGACAATTATGGCTGAGTGCATTGGTTCATACCTATAGTCCCAGCACTCTAGGAAACTGAGATGGGCAGATTGCTTGTATCCAGGTGTTTGAGACCAACCTGGGCAACATAGGGAGAACCTGTCTGTACAAATAGTAAATAAGTTAGCCAGGCATGGTGGCAAATGCACCTGTAGTCTCAGCTTCTCAGGAGGCTGAGGTGGGAGGATCACTTGAGCCTGGGAGGTCAAGGCTGCAGTGAGATGTGTTCATGCCACTGCACTCTAGCCTGGGTGACAGAGTGTGACTCAGTTTCAAAAAAAAAGAAAAAGGTTAATTATTTATGTTGAAATACTGACTCAATATGTTTCTGGAAGAAATTTTAAGTTTCAAAATTTTTCCAGATTAGAGGTTTATGAGCTAAATATTGCACCTTCTTGTTAGCCATTTATCTCTGTGTGAAACTGAACTAAAAAATTAGAGAGTGACGATTTCTAGGTATGACTTACATTCACCTTAAATATGTGAAGACTGTCACACCTCAGCTGGCATCCTCTTTATAATGGATATTTTAGTCCGTTGACTAGGAATAGGGCTATAACATTGGAGATAGACTAGATCATTCTATAAGACTTGTGGATCTCCTGATGAAACACTGTAATATCTTTGGACAAAAATTCTAGATCTTTATGCTTTTGTCAATCCATAGCAGATGCTGGGTGCTGTGCAGCTCAATCTGATTTTTGAGAGTGTATCAGATTAAAACTCCTCATGATTCAGAGAATAATCAATAATGTACTGGTGGAACATTTACAAGCCTGATAGCTGTATTAGTCTATTCTTACACTGCTAATAAAGACATACCTGAGACTGGGTAATTTATAAAGGAAAAAGGTTTAATGGACTCACAGTTCTACATGACTGGGGAGGCCTCACAATCATGGTGGAAGGCAAAGAAGAAGCAAAGGCACATCTTATATGGTGGCAGACATGAGAGTGTGTGCAGGGGAACTCCCCTATTTAAAACCATCAGATCTCCTGAGACTTATTCACTATCACGAGAACAACACGGGAAAAGGCATTCCCATCCATGATTCAATTACCTCCCACTGGGTCCCTCCCACGACAGCCAAACCGTATGATTGTCTAACAAATGGATTCTAGTTTGACCTGAGTTAATCTGATCACCTTTTAACACCACACAGTTGTTTTTATTGCCTGGGCATAATCTATCCATATCACTGGAGAAAGATTATCCAAAAAGCTTATCCATACCACTGGAGAAAGATAATCCATCCATATCACTGGAGAAAGATTATGGGACTCTGTACTTTAACTTCCATCATTTGCAAGTATCCTATTTTCATATTTTCTTAAGAGGCATGTGAATGAGATTTAACTATAACTTAAGAATTTTTCTTTTTTTTTATGAAGGAGTCATTGAAATAATTAAAATATGACATCCACTTGTTTCTTTTTCTTGGAACTTAGTTAGCAATGTGAGTAAATCGTTCGGTAAAACCTCATTTTTTTAATAAAGCTCCAACTTGTGTTCTTTTCCTTTTGGAATGCAGCAGCCAAAAACTATAAACAGGAAACAGCCTGGAAGATATCACCTGGACAGCTATGAGCAATCAACACGGCGTCTACGTCCCACAGAAACAGAGGACATCGCAATAAAGGTTATTTTTATTTCCTGGATTCTTACATGAATAGATACATTTATGTTACTACTTTATGGCGAAGTTCTGTGAAAGTGTCCTAAATTGTGCCTTTAAATTCTTTTTACAGTTGTCATTAACCCTAACAACATTTTTAAAAATATCTGAGTTTTAGTTGTCAGTTCTTCCTCATCTCCCAGCCACAATTTTTGCTCCAGCAGCACATTTCAATAACCAGAGAATGTGCCTTTCTTCTGAATCTGCTTTAGAAGCTAGTGTTGCATGTATTTTTTTCTGGTATTCCTATGTTTATCAGCCAAATAAATTGATTCCTGGAGAATACCAACATTATACATTCGTATTTTAGGAATATAAATTAGATAGTCATTGTTTTCAATCAGGGGAGACTCAGACTAGTGTATGCATTCACCAGTTTCCCAGTACTGCCCTTGATCTCATTTCAAACTTGGCTATTTGGACTCTCCCCAGGCATTGCGCTTAAGTTAAGGCAGAACAGGCAACCTAGAGTTGGGGATAAGAGGGCGTGGTCAGTGTTGTGCAGGAACTAGAATAGCTGCCAGCAGCAGTCAAGGGCCTCCATCCATGGGAGCTGCCAGAGTCCTGGAAACTTAGCAAACTGGCTGCATTGGCTGTTGGAGGATATCCAATTCCTCTGCACAGCCTAGGCCAGTCAGAGAGACGGAGAGGCTCAGTATGGGGTGTATAGTAGAGCCAAGAGCTATGTTTAGGTCTCTCTCTCCTTGACACCTGACACAATACCTTCCCACAATAGCCACTTCATAATCGGAACAAACCTGTGATTGAATGGAACAAGCTAGTGCTAGCCCTCCCTTTTCCACTAACTTGATGCGTGATGTTTGGGCACATTACTATGCCTCACTGAGCCATGGTTTGCCCATCTTGAGGTGGACATGCCATTTTAGTGTGGTGGTTTTGGGGTTAAAAGGATATGTCACGTAGGAATTTTAAAGAGGGTTCTAGTGATTCTTGACTTTGGTTATGCGTTAGAATCACCTACAAAGCTTTAAAAAAAAGTGTGTGTGTGTGTGTGTGTGTGTGTGTGTGTGTGGTGTTCCTAGGCAATTATAATGGTCAGGCAGAGTGGAAACTAGGGGCTATGAAAAGATAAGGAATGAGAGATTGGAAAGAATCCTCTATGCTGTTGTTTCCCCACAATGCCCAGATAACAACTAATGTATTGGTGAATAGAAAACAGGGCCAGTTTTTAATTGACATTTTCTGTTCACTATAGTAGGAATCTAAAAATATGTCTTTTCCATGTGTTTCATTAATTTTCATTTTGAAAGAAAAAAGAGAGACTATTATGATTTTTTTTCCCAAAATTGACCATTCATGCATTAGAAAAATAGCTGCTTATCAATGGCTCTGACTTTGCTGTGCTTCTGAATGGCCTCCGCAGTTTCAGGCTCACTTTCAAGCTCAAATTAATTTTTTTATTTATGGCGAAAGCTCACAAGTTGGTAGTAATGTATTTATTTTTTGAAATATTTTTATTGTGAAATACTATATACTTCAGAGAAGTACGTATTTATATCAGCAGCTCCCTCCGAAAATGCAGCAACACATGTATCTGCTGTCTTCTTACATATTTCCCCTGGGATATAATTGCCACCCCGACTCTTACAGTCATCATTTCCTTGATTATTCTTGCTATACACGCATCCCTAAAAACATATTTTTAGTTTCTTAAAAGTTTAAATATGTGTGTATGGGTGTGTGTTGCTTCTTTTGCTCAATATTGTGTATGTGTAATTCATCCATACTGCTGTAACCGCAATTCATTCACTCTCATTGCTGTTCTATTGTATAAATTGTTCTATTGTATAAATATACCAGAAGTTAATTATCTGTTCTACTTTTGATGGGCTGTTGGGTGTTTTTCAGTTTGGGGGTATTGTGAACAGTTGCTGAGTTATATGGTATGTGCTTCCTCAGCCTTCCTAGATAATGGCAAACTGCTTTCCAAAGTGATGGTGCCAATTTACACTTTCACCAGAAGTGACTGAGAGTTCCAGTTGTTCTACATCTTCACTAAAAAAATACTTCACTAAAAATACTTTTTTGCCAAGTGTTATGTGCTGGGAGAGATGCAACTGTATCTTGCTGTGGTTTTTATTTGCATTTTTCTGATTACAAATGAGGTCAAACAATTTTCGATATAAGATATATTTATGAAAATGGCCATTGGGGTTTGGGTTTGGATTTCTCTTTTGTGAATTACCAGGTTGTTTGTCCTTCTCTTCTTTAAAAATTCTTGGCCAGGCATCGTGGCTCATGCCTGTGATTCCAGCACTTTGGGAGACCGAGGTGGGTGGGTCGCGAGGTCAGGAGATCGAGACCATCCTGGCTGATATGGTGAAACCCGTCTGTACTAACAATGCAATAAATTAGCCGGGCGTGGTGGCAGACACCTGTAGTCCCAGCTACTCGGGAGGCCGAGGCAGGGAGGCAGGGAAATGGCATGAACCCGGGAGGCAGAGCTTGCAGTGAACCGAGATCGCACCACTGCCCTCCAGCCTGGAGGACAGAGCGAGACTCCGTCTCAAAAAAGAAAAAAAAAAAAAATTCTTGGTACTACTTTGACAGTCAAATACGTTGCAAAATTCTTCTCCCACTCTATGTGGCTTGGCTTTCCGCTCTATGATATCTTTCACTGAGCAGAAGTTCTTAATTTTAATATAGTCTAGTATACAACTTTTCCTTTATGGTTAATGCTTTGGTGTTTGGTCTTATTTAAGAAAACTTTTCCTACCCAGAGGCCATGATGACGTTCTATACGAGCTCCTAAAAGCTTTGAAGCTACACTTTTTACCTTTATTTCTTTAATATACATAAAATCAATTTTTGTGTTTAGTATGAAGTAGGGATGTGATTTAGTAGGTAAATCAGTGATGAATAATTTATTAGTAAATCATAAATGTAGCAGTAGTACATTTAGTAGTAGTCATTTTCCCAAATTTAGTAGTAAATCAGTAAGGTCTGATTTAATGTTTTCAAGTGTGATATCTAGTTGCCTAGCCCCATATATTGATCACTGTCCCTGCTGATCTTCAGTGTGATGTCAGTTACACATCAAGGATCTATATGTGTGCGAATCAGTTGATAGCCTTTATTGATTTTTCTCAGATTTATTTGTCTGTTCAGTATCCCGCTGTAATGATTACTATAGCTTTCTAATGAACATTGATACCTTTTAGAACAAGTCTTTGTAACTGTTTTTTTGTTTTTGTTTTTGTTTTTGTTTTTGTTTTCCCTCTTAGCTATACTTGGCCCCTTGGGGAAAAGAGGCTTAGGTGGTCTGGGGTTCACACTTTTGAATTTGTATTTTTTCCGTATATTTTGACTTGGCATTTCCTAACTGCTTCTTTTGGTGAGATTTTTTACAAACCAAATTTTGTTCATCGTTATTACTTATTTTCAGAAGGAGAAAATGGACAATGGTCTGTCTGTGCCCTACCTTTACATTTAAAAACACATTCTTTTCATTGAGGTGAAATTCACTTAGCAGACAACCATTTTAAAGTGAACAGTCCAGTGGCATTTAGTACATTCACAATGTTGTGCAACATTTACCTAGTTCCAAAACTGTTTCATCACCCCAAGAGGAAATCTCAAACCCATTAAGCAATTGTTTCCCATTTCCCACTCCCCTTGCCCTGGGCAGCAACCAATGGATTTGCCTATTCTGGATATTTCATATAAATGGAATCATATACTAGGTGACATTTTGTGTCTATCTGGCTCCTGCTTTTAAATTTTAATTCATTCTTTCCCTGTATCCCTGATACTTCTTCCTATCAAAGTCACCTCATCTCCAATATACGTACCCCCTAACCCCATCATTATAGAACCAGCTCTAATGTGCTTGATATGCTTAGGCATGCTCATATCTTTGTAAAATATGTAGTGTTGTCATAAGTGTGTATGTGCTCTCAATTTACTTAAATGTTTTCTTGATCGTTTGTTTCTGCTAAGTGCACCATTGTATCCTGTAGACTGTGTCACTGCATTTTACTTATCCCCTAGTGATGTACACTGAGCTTGCCTCCATCTTTCCTCTATCAGAAACCCTGCTATGATGTTCATCATTGTACCTATCCTTACAAGATGCTTTGCAAAGACTGATTTACATATTAGCTGATTTTCCAAGTTCAGACATCTAGTTGGGGAAGTCAGGATTTTAACCCTGCTGGTGGGGAATTTAGTGCATTTTGTAAAAGGTGGGAGGGAATGAAAGTGTAAATGGTAGCAGGAGAATTTAACTTTAACTTTCCTGCTCTTCTGTCTTTCTTGTGTGGATGTTGTTCCTTCTTTTAGTTCAATGTAGCACCAAATCAGAAGGTGATATTTCATTCTTCTAGTTCTTTCCTGCTACTTTCAGACCATGACCTTCCCCTGTCACACTCATAAAGCTATGGTATTTTCTGCCTGCTCTCACATCTATTATCAGAGGACCTCGTAATCACTCTTCCACCTTCTCTGTAGATGTGAGTATGTTTCCTAGTCCACCGTTCTATCTTTGTATGTGCCACACATGGTTAGGATTTATACTTCCAGGGGCACAGTCTATCCAGTATCCCAGCCTGAAAATCCCCTAATCTACCGTCATTCCTTTGCACCTCACCTGGATAGCTGTGTCACCTTCTCCATAGCACTCAGCAGCCTGGTTTTACATGTGTAGAAGGCATGAGGTTGGATTGCTGCAGAAAGGTACTAAAGGAATTTTAGCATTCTTCATAATAGCACGAATTGAAAGTCCCTCCTTTCACTTTCATTCTCTTTAATTTTTCATTTACACCACTAAATAGCCATAACTCTAAATCAGAATTTCACCATTGTGTGTTCTACCTTGGGTTGAGTCTTTTAGCGCTTACACATTTTTATTTTAATTAGAAATTGTTCATTGATATCACAGGTATAATTTACTGCCACACTCATATAATCTGTATTCACACTTGGTCACCACCTGGAACTGCATCCCCTCTATCTTGCTCTATTAGACTAGTCAGTCACTGACAACAAAATCCTGGTACTCAAGTTTTCTCAGGCCTTTAATTTCATGGTCATTGTTTTTTTTTTTTAACACTATTGAAACCTTCAATATCTTGAGCCCCTTCTTTTTCTCCCAGTCCTTTAGTACCTTTCTGCAGGAATCCAACCTCACGCCATCTACACATCTATAACCAGGCTGCTAAGTGCTATGGAGAAGGTGACACAGCGATACAGGCCAGCATGGTCACAGATTTATTATCTCCAGTCTCAGCTGACTCCCCTCCCCCAGTAGCTATCTGCCATCCTTTTACATGTCTCTTAGCAGCATTATTTTCCAAACCTACAGTAGCTATGCAACTGTCACCACTCTATTGCCACCTCCTTCTCTCCCCTTTTGCCTCCTCTTTCTCCAGATCACCTTAGCTCCCAATTCACTGAGAACATCCAGGGTGTCATGTAGGGTCCCTCTCAGTTTCATGCTGGCCCTTGTCCACAAGCATCTATTTTTGTGCCTCTTTTAGCCTCCTCACCTACTCTGGGAGAGAAAATGGAATCTTCAGCCTCTGAGGCTGTTTCATTTCTTTGCATGCCCTTTGTCATTTAACCATAATGACAGCCCCAGCCAGCTCTGCCCCAGCTAGCTCTATTCATCATTTCCTCTGACATATTTTATAGTTTTTTGATCTTCGGCCTATTCTCACTATAGTTCTTTACCTACAAATGCTTTCAATGACATTCAGTATATTTTACAAAACTAGTTAAAAGGCCTCTTTTTCCAAAAAGTTTTCTGACTCATCCCAGATGTAAATGATTTTCTTTATGAGCTGCTATTGTACTTAGTGTCTGTGTGTCCCCTCTATTTGGTACTTAGCCCATAATGTAGTGTCTTGTACTCACTTCTTTCCATGGTTTACTTACTCAACTGACTGCAAGCTTCAAGAGAGTAGGGAGGATGCATTATGCCTTCTTTGTGATCTATGCCAACCTAACCCTGTGCCTCACACAGAATGAGGATGATCAGCCATATTTACAAAGCAATCAGCAATTCTAATCCAGCCCTTCCGTGAGACCCTCCTTCCATGACTAATTTCATGCTTAGCTATGTTATGGCTATTACTAAATGTTGTGCCATGTGTATTATAAGCTAGAGAAAACCTGCATGGACAAACATAATCTAGCCTTTTCAAGCAGAGTTTTTCACTCTCTAAGTTGTTCATTTTATGAAGAGTTTTTAGGGTTATATGTAGTTATAATTGAGATATCACAAATCCGTTCTGCAAAATTCCTAAACAATAGTGTGCTTAGAAATTTCATTTATGGTTTTGAAATAAGATATTAGTTTATGAGCAAAGTGTATCTTTAATTTCTCCTGATTTTTAGGAGCCCTTCCTCCCATCATCTATGTCTACTTCATCCTTCTAATTCTTGGGTTCCGTTATTGTTTTATTTCCTATTTTTATAACTGGTAAAAGTATTAAGTCCACTTGAAGCTTGTTAAAACAAATAGATTCTGTAGGATGAATAGAAGGTATTGTGATTTTTGCTGATTGCTGACATTTATAACACAAGCAATATTGCCTCACTTCTTTTATTATTCTTTACTCTTTTTTTTAACTTCAGTGAATAGTTGGCCTACACAGTTCAGGAAACTCATTAATTACAGTTTTCCTCCTCAGTTAATGAAGTCATTTTGCTGGAATAATCTGTGGTTATTTCTCTTCTTTATTTTAATCACTAGGATTTGGGGAATTGTCTGGCAGTAAGAAAATAATTAATGTAGGGATTTCACTGGAAAGTGTTTGGGACAATTGTCTTTTAAGAATGTCCATATGTAAATAATCCGGTAATCCCAAATTTTCAGAGATTTTTAGCATTCTTCATAATATCGCAAATTGAAAGACCCTCCTTTCACTTTCATTCTCTTTAATTTTTCATTTACACCACTAAATAACCATAACTCTAAATCAGAATTTCACCATTGTGTGTTCTACCTTGGGTTGAGTCTTTTAGCACTTACAAATTTTTATTTTAATTAGAATTATTCATTGATACCACACATATAATTTAATTTCTATATTTTTATTTTGTAGGTCACAAATGGATACTTTTCATGGGGCAGTGGTTTAGCCACATTATCCAATATAGACATTCGAATTCCAACAGGTAAGAGTCATTTGTTATGCATATTTGTAATTGTTCATGACCATAACCATAGTTTTCCAAGATAATTGAGCCTAACAAAGAGAGACTTTAAAGACATAAATATTATTTATGGCTACCTATTTGCACCATTCTGCTTGTGAGCCACTGTGTCACTGTGGGAATGGCTGGAAATGATAAGACCTGCCTTTCACCATGGGTCTATACCTTTGGACAATTATTTACTGTTCATTTGCTGATTTGGGCAATTTAAACAGTGGGGTGGTTGATTTCACTTTTTGTTTGAGAAACACTTTAAAGAAAGAGTATATGAGAAACTTATTTTCTATTTCTGAGAAATACTGAGGAAGTTTTCAAGATACTTAAAACTTACATATCCAATAATTATATTTAATATTTTTTAAAAGTTTTATTGACGTTTAATTGATCCACAAAAATTGCATATATTTAATGCTTACATTTTGATGAGTTTGGGCATATGTATATACGTGTGAAAAACATCACCACAATAAAGGTGTTCAATATGCAATCGCTACCAAAAATTTCCTTATGTTCTTCTTTTCTTCTAGTGTTTATTTTCTTCTGTTTTTACTTTATTTTTTGTGGGAAGAACACTTAACATGAGATTTATCCTCTTAACACATTTTAAAGTACACAGGGCTATGTTGTTAATTGTACATACTATATTAACCAGCAGATTTCTAGAACTTATTCATCCCACATAACTAAAATCCAAAAATAACTATTGAACAACAATTTCCCATTTTCCCTTTCCCCCATCTCCTGGAACCCACAATTCTATTTTCTGCTTCTGTGAAAAGAAGTGTCTAAACTTTTGACTAAATTAATTAAAATACCTAAAATAGTCAAAATTTTAGATACCTCATATAAGTGGAATCTATGGCTTGCTTATTTCATTTAGCATAATGTCCTCTAGGTTCATCCATGTTGTTGTGAATGGCAGGATTTCCTTCTTTTTATAAGACTGAATAATATCCCATTGCATGTATATACCACATTTTCTTTATTCATTCATCTGTCAATGGACATTTGGGTTGTTTCAATATCTTGGCTATTGTGAATGATGCTACAATGAAGATGGGGGAGCAGATATTTCTTTGAGACCCTAATTCTGATTCTCTTGCATAATACCCAGAAGCGGGATTGCTGGATCATATGACAATTCTATTTTTAGTTTTTCGAGGAACCTCCATGCTGTTTTCCATTGTTGGCTGCACAATTCTACATTGCCAGCAACAGTGTGTAAGGGTTCCAGTTTCTCCACATCCTCACTAACACTTGTTATCTTTCTTTTTTGTTGTTGTTACAGCCATTCTAACAGGTGTGAGGTGATATCTCATTATGGTTGTGATTTGCATTTCCCTGATGATTAGTGTTGTTGAATGCCATTTAATATATACCTGGTGGCCATTTGTGTGTCTTACTTGGAGAAATATCTCTATTCAGGTTCTTTGTCCATTTTTTAATTCAATTGTTTTGTTTCTGTTTCCGTTTTTGTTTTTGTTTTGTTTTTTTTACTATTTTATATTTTGGATATTAATCTCTTATCAGACAGATAGTTTGCAAATATATTCTCTCATTCCATAGGTCTCCTTTTCATTCTGTTGTTTCCTTTGCTGTGCAGAAGCTCTTTAGTTTGATGTGCTTCTACTTATCTATTTTTGGTTTTATTGCCTGTGCTTTGGTGTGAAATCCAAGAAATCACTGCCAAGTTCAATGCCAAGAAGCATTTTCTCTATTTTTTCTTTAAGGATTTTTATAGTTTCAGGTCTGACATTTAAGTTTTTAATCCATTTTGAGTTTATTTTTGTGTATGGTGTAGTATAGGCCAATTTTATTCTTTTGTATGTAGATATCCAGTTTGTTGAAACCACTTGCTGAAGACCAGTTGATTGCATATGTATGGGTTTATTTATGGTCTCTCTCTTCTGTTCCATTGATATATGCATGTGTCTTTATGCAAGTACCATACTGTTTTGAATACTGTAGGTTTGTAATATATTTTGCAAGCAAAAAGTGTGATACTTCCAGCTTTGTTCTGCTTTCTTAAGATAGCTTTGGCTATTTGGGGTCTACTGCTTCCATATGAATTTTGGAATTGATTTTTCTATTTCTGTAAAAAATGCCATTGGGATTTTGATAAGGATTACATTGAATCTGTAGATTGCTTTGGGTAGTATGGACATTTTAACAATATTAATTCTTCTAGTCCCTAAGCCCAGATGTCTTTTCATTGTTTTGTTTGTGTTAATTTCACCAATGTCATAGTTTTCAGTGTATATGTTTTTCACCTTCCTGGTTAATTTTATTTCCAAGTACTTATATGCTAACAACAAATGATCTCAAATTAAGAAAACAATACTATCCACGATGGCATCAAAAGGAATAAAATATTTAGGAATAAACCCAATAATTTTTCCTTAAAATGTCTCTGTAATTGAATAGAAATTTTTTTGACCTGGCCTGATGTTCATTAGAAATAGATTTTTCTATCATAAATGCAAAGACATAGATTTTTCTATTATACATGCAAAGACACTCTCTTCTTCAAAGAGAAATTGGAGAAGAGAGTGCCTTAATAAATTCACCCAAATCATTTTTATCTCAATTATTTATTTTAGTCAAAACTGTCCTTTATATTCTGAATGAATTGAATATTAAAGTTAAAACTAATCTTGATGATCTAGGCAATTATTTCATTGCTCTCTTTACTGATATCAGCCATTCTCTTAGTTTTTAAAATAATAAATCATTATATATATATTTTTTTCCTTTTCCAAAAAGAAGTGTCAGAGAAAGGAGCTGTTTAGAATACCTTATTGCTGGAGATCAAAACTGGGCCATTGATTGTAAAACATTAGCTTTTTCTAAATGTGTTTTGATTTTATTTCACTAAGAATCCATCTCATTCTGTAGTTATCCTTTGTTTTGCTTTCTTAGGTCAGTTAACCATGATTGTGGGCCAAGTAGGATGTGGGAAGTCCTCTCTTCTCCTTGCCATCCTTGGTGAGATGCAGACGTTGGAAGGAAAAGTTCACTGGAGCAAGTATGTATATTTTAAGTTGGCTTCCATTGCTATGTCATCCATCTGATAATCTTTCAAGGAAAGAACTTAGACAAATACATTTACATGTTCTAACTCTGAAGACCACTCAGAAATAAGCACAGCTTTAAAAAAAAATTGGTGGAAACCTTCAAAGTCATAAATAAAAAGTTACAAAACTATTTATTACAAAAGTTGTTTATAATAATATAAACTACTATATTGCTGAGACAAAAGTAAGGATGGGATTGTAAAGATAGATTTTTAATTTAAGTGGGTAATGCTTAAAGAAATAACTTAAAAGTTTACTCAATAATAAAATAAGTTATGGAAAATTTACATTATTTATAAAGCTTAAATAGAAACAGTGCCTTAAAGGTTCAATGTTCAGAGAAGAAATATCAAATGATCTTTTCCAAAATCTGTATAAGAAATGAAAATCAACTATTTATCCTTATACTTAAACTAGATACTAGAAGTATATAGTTGGAGATATGAATAGATTTGATTAGTATATTGTGCAATTCTAATGACATGGAAAATAAAGTGCATCTTCCAGACATTTGAATGATCGCTTCCAAAATGATGTTTCTTCTAGATATTTGAATGGTGGTCAAAGCACATTGTGGTAATAAAGTGATTCAGAAAAATGTTACATAATTGGTTAACAAAGAGTAAGTTATGCTTATTTAGTTTGGCCTACTTAGTAGACTCCTCATAAGTAGTTTATGAATAAATTGGCTACAGCTGATCTAAGAAATTAGGCTACAGACCAGTGGTTCTCAAACAGGTGTGATTTTTGCCCCCGGGGACATTTGGCAATATCTGGAGACATTTTTGGTTTTACACTGAAGCATTGGGTTGCTACTGGTCTGGTGGATAGAGGGCAGGGATGCTGCTAAACATCCTACAGTGCACAAGACAGCCCCCATACCAAGGGATTCTCTTGTCCCAAATATCAATTGTGTTGAGGTTGGGAAACCCACAGATGTTCTTTCATATCATTTTGTACCTACTATCATGAATTCCACTGTGGCTGAGTTTGCTGTTTACATACACAGACATCTCTCAAGAATGAGAAGACTATGGCTTTTTAGGAGTATATTATATTTTAAACTCCAATTAAGAAAAAAATTCTAGGTTGTGAAATTCAGGCTGAAATTAGCAGAAGTGTAAATCCTGTTTTCAATGTCATTGGCAAAAGAAGAAGACTGAATTGTCGAGTGTACATTTTATCCCTGTTGAGCAAATCTAGCAGATAGTAACCTTGCAACTGTTTAGTGCACCTCCAGCAGAGAGCTCAGTAAAACATTGCTACTTCAGTTTGCTTCATGGCAGTAGACAAGGTTTCCCCTGCCACTGTCCTCAGGCAGCAGACGGTGTCAGTAACTAACCTCAGGCACTAGATGATGTTCCCCTAGCCACTTGGATGAAGCCACTTCCATCTTGGATGAAGAAGCAGATCCCACTGGATTTAATTATATTGTGTGGCTTGTACAGTTATAATTAAGTTATTTGGGTTTTGTTTTTATCCTGATTTACCATCATTAAAACAGAGAGAAAGAATGACAGTGACAGAAAAGGCTTGAGATTTTATTTTCATACTACCAGGAAGATCTCCTAATCTGGCCTGTTCCAAGTGTAATTTAACTTTCCAGGCCCCAGCTCCACTTGAGCTAAATTGACCCCCAATATTGTCATTCATAATTATCATGTGTTAATGAATACAGAAATGATGTGAGGATGCAGAAAATATTCTTTATAACCTACTTATTTATTTTCTTGCTTTCCTAAGCATGTATATGATTTATATCATGTCTTGTTTCATAAAGTTTTGTATTGTTTTATTTAAAATAACATAGTATAGTGGAGTTTGAAAGATAAAGGTAAATAAATTTTTAAAATATTATTTAAATAATCATCTGAAGTTGTAATAGACAGAAATGCATGTACTGAAGTCCTGTATAATTATAACATATGGGCCACAAATTTCTCTCTGAATTTCATGAAAGCTAAGCAAAGAAGAAAACGTGAGG